AGTTCGGGCCACCTCCTCGTCATCTGCAAGAGGTTCACAGCTACGTTAGGCCCTATAACGCCAAATGTGTCGTATTTGATTCATACGGTTTCTGAAGTCTTGTGGATCTGAGGCTCATCCTAAGAGTCGCATTTTCTCTGAATAAATGTGCTGTTAAACGGGAGTTTCGCTCCGTCTTTTGTGTTTGAACCAGCCTCCGAACTCGTTGTTTAAAAGCTAAGAAACGCAGCATGACGTCATTCCCACAGAACGGGAGGTTGTGTCACCGTGAAACAAACCTGGAAGAATAAACAGATTTTTTCCTAAACTTGGCCCACATCAGCTCTGGAGTTTTTGTTTTCCTGTTTGGGTCCCCTGTTATGGGGAAAACTGTCGGTTTCCCTTAATTTTTAACTAACATTCAGGGCCCTGAACGAGCGAGAAGTCCAGCTGCAAAGATCCCCGTTAGCTGGGTTAGGGTTCTGTAGATTTAACCCTATAATGCCAAATGTGTCATATTTGATTCTTACTTCTTTCTGAAGTCTTTTGGATCTGAGACTTTTTGCATCATTCAGTGGTAAAAGCTTTGCTCAAACCTCTGTTGTACACATTCAGATATACCTGATAACAGCCAGTAGAAGACTACACCAAAATATATTTTTGACTTATTGCACGTTAATTTGATCGAAATCATTTCTGTTTTTTTTTCTTCATATGTTGTTGAGGGGCCAAAGAAAGACTTCAGAAAATCCATTATTCTTCCTATTTTTCTTGGATCAGGCTTTAAAGGGTTAAGGGATTTATCGTTATCCACCCGAGGGTCTGGCTGCAGCCTGTAGGAGCCTCGGTTGGATATGTCCTCCCACATCCAAGTCGGCCATCTTGATTAGGTCATGTGACTAGCTGCTTTCTGAGGTGGAAACGAAACTTTACTGTCTATACGAAATCAGAAGATAAACGATGTCCTAACTCTAATCCTAACCCTAACCCTAATCCTAACTCTAACCCTAACCCTAACCCTAATCCTAACCCTAAACCTAACCCTGACCCGGACCCTAACCCTAATCCTAACCCTGACCCTAACCCTAACCCTAACCCTAACCCTGACCCTAATCCTAACCCTAAACCTAACCTTGACCCGGACCCTAACCCTAATCCTAACCCTGACCCTAACCCTAACCCTAAACCTAACTGTGACCCTCCATCCTTCATAATTGTGAGAAATAAATATTTTTAAAACTTTTTGGGACTTATTGTACAAACCTATTTAACATCCACTATTTTAACATAATATTATGGATAGAGTTTAATTCAGTGTTTGCAAGATTCATTTAACTATTTTTAGATTAATCTCTATATTGCCATGAAGCAATTAGGATTTTCTCTCCTGGGATCTTCCTGTTGGTGACGTACTCCTACAGTCTGCAGCCAAACTCCTGCTGGCCCGGCTACTTTTGACAGCTGGAATTCAGTTCGGGTCTTTGCTTCAACATAAACTCCACAAATCTGAGGCTAAAAAACGGTCTATTTAGCTAGTTTAATGTGAGGTTAATGGAGTGTTTCCCCGGGAGGTGAAGGCTCCCCTTCACCGGCTTTAAAGGCACACAGATGTTGTAAAAGCTGGATCGGGGGGGAACGTGCTGTTTAGCACATGGTGGATCACCAGACGCTTTTCAAAAGGAGACACGAAACCTTTCTTTCCAGACAGTGGGTCCAAAAAACATGCATGTTGGGATAGTTAGAGACTCCATGAGTGGACGGCATATAAACGCAACTTTTCAGAGCTGGAGACACAAAAACATCTGCACCAGTGATGTAATCCAGCCTGGATTTGAAAAAAAAATAAGATAAATTAACACAAAGAAAAGAAACCCGATCGTCCTGGTCCTCTGTTGTTCCCCAGAAGGTGGATTTTAGATCTCTGGTAGAGAAGAAAAAATGGTCCAAATGCGAATTTGAACGAATGAAACGTCGTTGGATTTAAAGTTTGGCTTGAAAGTGATTGACTTTTCTTTCTTTTTTATTCTTTTTACCGGAGCTTCTTTTGTGAGGAACAAGCCCCTCAGATGGTTTTGAATCCTCCGGTTTTACCTGCATGGAATTTCAGCCCCAGGCCGCGTTTGTTTACCCAAAACCTCCCAGACTCAGCGGCTTTAGCCCGGAGATCACATTTCCTCTGACGCCGGCGTGAAGATGAAACGCTTTTT